TGATTTCTACCGCTGCTTGTTAATTCTAATTGTAATTTGCAGAGACTGACGACTGTATCCTATGGAAACGCCCACCAGATGCCGCTCACCAAAATGAAAATACAGAAGCCAGTGGAGAGGGAAGTGAGGATCCGGATGCCACCATCTGATCCAGGGTCCCACTCTTCCCCGGTCATGATACGAGTGGAGAAAGAGCCAGTGACAGTTCCAATTCCAAGCAATTCTCTACAGTCCTCTCCTCAGCCACAAATAGTGTACAGCAGTGCAAGAAGAACAAGCCCTCCTCTGCCCACAATTCACTCTGTCCAGTCTTTGAAAGAATCCCCAATGCAGTGCTCTGCGACTGCAGTTGGCATTTCTGACTTTGCCCAAGGGAAGGCGACCGTTGAGCAAGACAGCAGGATACCTATGTCTTCAGGTGCCAGTGATACAGTGCGTCCCACCGGAAGACCATATCAAGATAGTTGTACTTCCAGAGAAAGAGAAGCATTTGGTCATGTCAAAACTGCAGACAGTGCTGCAGAGCAAACCAGCTTTTCTCAACCTGAAGTTCCTTCATCATCGTCTGGAGATAGTATGAGTTTAGGTGGGTAATAATCATGCACCAAAAAGTGTATTGTCATTTCAGGGAGTTCAAAATAAATGTTTAGTAAAAACCGAAAGAACTGCGGATGCTATAAATCAGAAACAAAAGCAGAAATTTCTGGAAAAACTCAGAAGGTCTGGTAGCATCTAATGGACAGAAATCAGAGTTAGCGTCTCAGGTCGTTTCCCTTCACTTTAGTACATGAGACATCAGTTATTGTTTATCTTTGTGACGATGCTGTGGTTGTATTTTATCCTGGTTTCTTTTAAGAGACAGAGATTGAATAAGAGGTAAAGAGCAATCTATGGTAACGTAAACAGCTTGTGAGGACTTGGGTTTTTTTTAATAGTTGGAACAATAGAAGCAGCCTGGCTGGGTGTGGCCAGTTCTCACAGATTAGGATCTCTGGTTTTATTTTAGCTTTTAGATTCAGCAGAAGCTGCTGGAGTTTTGAAGTAGAAGCCATTTTTTGCCCTCTCTTGGTTACAGCTAGAAGCTGGGGTTTCTCTTCCTGCTGTGGGCATTACATGTGAGACAGTCTATTTTCTGAATTTGCCTTTTTGCCAAGGGGTGTGTTTACATGATGTTACTATATTGGAACAGTTAATTAATAATTACTGTATCTATTATTCTATTACGCTTTCCAGTGGAATTGTTATTCTAAGTTCTTTTTTTTTGTACTTTAGCTATTGTGTTTTGCTTAACATCAAGTAGTTTGACCAGTCAAAGTGCGTCTGGAACACAGCACTTTCTACATTTTTCCTTTTAAAAAATAGTTAGGGTCTAGGCTACCTTCTTAAAATGTTTTGAGGGTGTCTGGTCTGGTCCATAACACCTTGTTCCTCTTAAAATTAATTGTGTGATTTGTTATATATTTGGTTGTAAAGCTTTTCTCCGCACATTTAGAATTTTGACTGTTCTCAGAAAGCAAAATTAATTTTTAAAAATCAGAATATTCTTTATTTATCCAATCAACTTTAATAGAATAAATTGCTAATAAAAATGATGAAGCTTCCTTGGCATTCAATATCCTTAATCATTTCAATTCATTTTGACCATCCCATAAAAGTCAGTCTATCAAGACAGATCCAGTTAATGTTCTGTCTGTAAAAATTTCAAGTTGAGTTTAAAATCTGGATTCAAACAAGTTGTCAGATTTCCAAACATAGTTTCACATTGCATGACATGCTGCATTTGGATTAAACCCTTCTACAAATAATCACATAACATATATAGATTTGAAATATATTTAAGAATTTTAGAATTAAATAAAGAAATAAACCTTAAAGTAAGGATTTCTTCAAAATTAAGAATTGGAAGTTAATTTTATGGATGCTATGTTTTATAAAAATAGCTATTTCTCTGACCAAACTTTAAAATAAGAGACTGTCATTCTGATCATTGCAGCAATTTTGAAGAGGAGGCATAGTGGACTCAACATTAACTATGTTTCTCTCTCCACATATGCTGTAAGACCTGTTGAGTTTCTCCAGAATTTCCTGTGCTTGTTTCAGATTTTCAGCATCCACAGTATTCTGATTATTAATCTCTTCAGTTCCCTTTTTTTGAAAGATTTAAAATAAAACTTTGTTAATTTGTGTAATAAAATATGACCTTGCCATATCTTAATATTGGCCATGGGAAATGATTAACAATTTCAAAATGGATTCCAATTTCTCATTCAATTATATCAAAACAACGCTGATAATACTAAGAACATTCCTAAACCTCAGTGGAAGTTTTGATCTAACTCATTAGATATTTTTACCAACCTTCAGAATTCCACACTGCAGGTGGAAATATTTCCAGCGGGTAAAAATATACATCATAAATATTTGTTAACCATGTGAATGTAGTTCTGGAACTCTGCGGGATGTCTCAGCGAAAAGCAAGATTCCTAGTTGAGCACCATATGCAGGAGTGAAAATTTAAAATTGGTAGCTGTTAAACTAGTATGTGAGAGCTTTATTTAATACACAAACAAGCTAAATTTTCCTTTCACTTGAACTGAAAACAGTCTGCAAACCATTTGTCATCGTGTCTGCATTGTCTTTGTGTGTAGGTTAGAATTTTATTGCATTTATGAATTCACTAATGTATAAAAGTGTTGTGACATCCCTGCCCCTCTTTTCCCTTCGACACCCCTCCATGAGAAAGGTCACAGTTTAAGAAGCAGCAGTAGTTGTATCATTCCATGACTTCTATTTATTTAAATTATAACCTGGAGTTTTAAATTTAATAAGATTTCAAATATGCTACATGACATTAGTATTTCCAATGAGAACTTTTTTTTATGCCTCTCAGTAATTCACCTGAATACTGATTAGCCACTTTTTTGATGTAGTGAAAGCCCTATGATTTAATATGGCAGGGTTTCACCAAACTGACTCAGGATTCAATGAAAAGCAGAGGACCGGTCCGAATTGGTAATTTATACACTAACCAAATTCACTTTCAAATGCTTTTAAGAATATGTCTCTCATTTGGGAGTGTAGTTTAATTTATTTCCAAAGTGGTGAGTCGGTGCAACGAGTGAATTTGCATTTTCATTGTGACTATAAGCCCCAAACCTAGATTGTGACAGTGGCCTCAGAGCAGAGTGATAGCAGACATTGTAGAAACAGCAATTTACTTAATGGTGCTGTTAGCGCTATCCCACTTTATGTAATCCAGCCTTGCTTCAAGTGTGAGCTACTAGAACAGTAATTTGATTCTATTTTGCTGGTTTAATGATCTTAACTGCATTTGCATTATCACAACTAAATGTGGCATAAATTTATATCTCTGCTTTTAACACCCTTTTATATTATCTCAAAATAAATATTATGATGAATGAGCAATGAAACAAAGCACATTACTCACAGACCTTATTTTAACTTCTGGGCGCACACCCAGTTTAGGCTGTTAGGATAAAATAATCTCCTGTCTGTGAGCTGTAAGAGCCTTCAGGGGACCAAGTTTTAGCAATAACGTATGGATCCACAGTAAATTAGTCCTTGAAATTGACATCAATTGATAATCTCACTCTTACTCCTGCGGTATAAATAGGGTATTTTAGAGGTGATCCTGTAACAGCATCAGTGGAGATAGCAAAGTACTTCTCTGGGCTGTCTGAACCATCTCACTGGCAGAACAGTGTGGTTTCCAGGGTTGGCCAGCTCTGAAATGGTTCATAGACTGGCTGAAAGTCATAACTCAGGCTGTTTATTGTGAAACATTTTTAAGATACACCGTGGCTTCCCACTATTGTTACATGGCAGAGTAATAAGATGGAGGGAAAACCTGACCCAACAGATCTCTGGAGATCAGAAAAATTTGACAAAAAAATGTTGCAGGGTTTTTTCACTCAATATGAAATAGGGAGATAATGATGCGCTCTTCTGTTTTCGACAAAATGTACCTTCGCCATTTCCCCTCTGGTGCAATAAATGGAGACTTTAAATTTCAGCTTTTACTTAAAAACAAACATTTTCTTATTTCATGTTCAATAATTTTGTTACTCTTGAATTTTCAGAATATCTGGGTGACCCAAGGCGAAATATAAAGGTGCCTGTAGCCTTCTTAATGAAGGCACGACAGAAGACCAAGCCAAAGTATGTAGCACGTTATCTCGTCCGGATGATGTTCCCAAAGGATACACTAATGTATAGTAACATGCAAGGTGACAAAACTAGAGGAATCAAACCACTGGATCCTAATAGGGTTGCAGCTTTGCGAGGTAGGTTGTGTTCTGGGTGACAGATAACATTTGAATAGTCTCAAAGATGCTTCAGTTTCCTACCTTTATATGTCTACAGGTGCTTATTGTAATAAGCTGTTGCTTCCGCGATACAGTATTCACTGTAATGGGATTTAAAATTGGAGTAATGATTAAAACCTAGTCATGGAACTCCAACAAATTGATCCATTTTCACTTAGTCTTATGCCAGGATTTTAAAAAAGTCTCATGAGGTTGTAGTATTTGATTAATATAGTAATGTCAGTACCTGTCTCATTTCCTTTTGGTAACTGAGAATGCAGAATTAACAAGAGGGTACATTTAGAAAACTGGACTTTTTGAAACGCTGCAACAACAATAAAAGAGGATTCGTAATAACAATTCCGAATTAGAGACCATTCATAGCCTGGATCAATATAGATGCCTAGTGGACACATTGGAAGGCATTTGTAAAATAGTCTCTAGTTTCATGAATAAGTAAAATTACATTTCAACAGTGAAACAAAAAATGTACCACTGTGCATGCTTTAGACAAGGGAAAAATGTGATTTAACATTTACAACAAATTTTAATGAGTTGCTAATTGTGTTTTTTTAATTGAATTTCTCCTTCTTCTCCCCTAGAGTTCCTTTGTTCACTTTTCCCTACATACGATTTGAGTGAGGAAGGCAAAGACTGGAAGATTTGTGTCTCCAATGTGAATTCCATGATTCGCAGCCTACGTTGTGAAATCCAAAAGGAAGCAGTAAGTAGATTCAACAGAGAGTAAAACATTTATTTTGTGCGCATTATTGGCAAGCTTGCATCAGGCTGACTTCAGCAGAAACTGAATCTAAAATAGGTGAAAGTACCTGCAATGCAGTATGAATTTATATTTTCTTTTCCTTCTTGGGGATTGTAACAGACCAAGATAACCAGTGTTTGCAGATATTATTATATTTACATCCAGAATAGTCAACTAGTAAAAGAAACTTTCTGAACAGCTGAAGGAGCTTCTGCATGCGGTCATGGATAAGGACATAGCTTAGATGTGATATTGAAATGTTCAAACCAATTTTCAATTTTTCCTGGCCTAGCTGATCTCAGCCACTGCAACATGTTGAGGACTCAAGATCCAATAGACAGTCTTAGAGTTATACAGCATGGAAACAGACCCTTCAGTCCAACTCGTCTGTGTTGACCAGACCTCCCAGTTTGATCTAGTCCCACTTGCCAGCATTTGGCCCATATCCCTCTAAACACTTCCTATTCACAGACCCATCCAGATGCATTTTAAATGTTATAATTGTACCCCCTTACACCACCACCTCTGGCAGCTTGTTTCATACACACACCACCCTGTCCCTCAGCCTCCGATGCTCCAGGTATAAAAGCCCCAGCCTATTCAGCCTTTCACTATAACCCTCCAATCCTAGCAACATACTTGTAAATCTTTTCTGCACCTCTCAAGTTTAACAACGTCCTTCCTGTAGAAGTGCAACCGGAATTATACATGATATTCGAAAAGTGGTCTCACACATGTCCTGTACAGCTGTAACATGATATTCCAACTCCTAGGTCAATGTAGTGACCAATGAAGGTACGCGTGCCAAATGCCTTCTTCACCACCCTTTCTACCTGCAACTCTAAATCTCTTTGTTCAGCAACATTTTTTGTTTCACTATAGAAATTTAATTTAACACATTCATTAAACTAGAGATTATTTTACAAATGTCTTCCAACGTGTCCACTAGGCATCTATATTGATCCAGGGTATAAATGGTCTCTAATTCGGAAAGGTGTTGTTACCAATCATCTTTTATTATTGTTGTAGAGTTTTAAAGAGTCCAGGGCCCCACCATTAACTGGATAACATCATTGATGGTAATTACATAGAGCACATGACAAAATTACATCATACAATTCTTATAACAACATTTTTATCGAGGGTAGATTAAAATGTTAAGACGTTATATATTATTTCTCACTAGCTATAAAAACCAAGATTTATATCAAAGAATCAAAGCTGAGAAGGCTAATACTTCTCTTATTTATTCTGCAATTGTGTACTGTGGACCACAGAATATAGAAGATGTATAACAAAGGAGGAGGATGTTTGGCGTGTTGCGTCTGGGCCAAGAAAAGAGCTATCTGGTCTAACGGCATATTCTTTGGTCTGTAGCCTTGCAGATTACAGCATATCCAAGTATTGTTTTAATGTGGTGTTTCTGCTTCTACAAGGAGCAGGTTCCAGACCCACACTCACTCAGTGAAAAACATTTTTCCCTCAACTTCCTTCTAATTCTACCAATTTCTTTACATCTATGCTCCCAGGCTATCAAAAATATAAGTAAAATGAGCTTGAGTCAATCATATGTTTTCTGTCAAGCCTACTCTGCCATTACATGATCACAACTGATTTTCTTTGCCTCAATGCCACTTTCCCTTCTGCTTCCCCATATTCTGATATGTGAGATACCAAAACTTCGTCATTCAAAAGGCGTGAATGTACATAATGATGGAGCAGAAGTGATACAAAGGAAATGGTTACACACAGCAAGTGATTAAGGTTTGAATTACACTGGGGCCTGAATGTGTGTTGGAAGCAGGTTCCATTGAAGCATTCAAAAGGGAATTAGACAGTAATCCGAAAGGAAGAGCGTGCAGGATTATGTAGAGAAGGGAGGAGAGTGGCACTCACGAAGACCCCCAGTGCAGACTTGATGCCTTGTGTTTTTTATGATTCTGTAAAGATCAGCCATAATATTCATAATGCACAGATCCTTCTCACAAGCTTCCGCAATGCTTTTGAGGAAGTGCTATTACACATTTACTGCAGAAAGCTTTATGGGGCTTTTACTCCCAAAATAACTTAACGTTAAGTAAGGAAATTCTTCTTTAAGATAAAACAACAGGGAATTCATGTAATCTGAAAAGATTTAAGAAATTGGCTAAAGGATAGTAAATGGCAAAAATTATTAGAAACGTTCAGGTAGAGGTAGTGCTGAATGATGGTCTTCCAGGAAGTGGTATTACAATTAACGCTGTTTTAATCTAAATTTGCACTCTATGATTCAAAATGAACTGATCCAGTAGCTGGGGAGGGTAAAAATTATCCAGACTTTTGTTCCTGATAGGTTTGTGAATATCTGTCAGAACAATATTAGCATGTGATGCCTTCCAAGGTAGGTTACTGATCGTTACTCACTCTAAACCCACAGGAAGGCTGCACAGTTGGACAGGGTACCAGAGTAGAGAGAAGGGCTGCTGGAAGAAAATTAAGAAATTCAAATGACCTTCCATACTACAAACATGAACTTGAGCAAGTCTTAATGATTCTTTCTGAAATGCTGGTTCTCTTCTGCTTTGAACTCCCTCTTCCCCATTTCCTTTTTTTTTTGCTGGAGGCTTTAAAATTTTCAATAATGGCTAATGTTCGACCTTCAAATATTTGGTGGAATGATTTGAACGTGTCTATATGGTGAACGATCACATTAGCTGCTTGAAAGGCACTTCAAGGTTACTTTTACAGTTAAGTGAGAATGTATTCATTACCTTGTATATAAATAGTCATTGTTTACTGTATCATGCACTAATCAGATTCAGCACAGTTTAAACAGTTCTTCCTATGGGCATGAGCACAGATTTCAATTTCACATCTGTTTGTACAGTTGGTAGATGCTCTCTTTACTGTCTGTTTTCTGCTTCTGGAAGGTGCCTTTAAGTTTCTGTTCGCTCACCCTTCCTAAAATGTCTCTTTGCTCCTTCTCACTTAAATGTGGTGATTCCTGCTACACCAGCAAATAGAGCTATACTGCACCCCTCACGACTAGTCTTTCTACCTTTGTATGTTTACTTGGATGATGAATATCAGTCAAACCTATCATTTTCAACCTGAATCCCATGCCCATCTGTTCCACGTGCATACACTATTCTAATAAAGAACCATGATAGGAAGAGACTGTTTCTTCCTCACCTAACCCCGAGACTAGTTGTAATGCATAATCACAATCCCAAGTGAGATTGAATAGTGGCTACTGAATCAAACTCCCGGTTTCCTCCCACAGTCCAAAGATGTGTAGGCTAGGTGGATTGGCCATGTTAAATTGCCTGTAGTGTTCAGGGGTGCGTGGGTTATAGGGGGATGGGTCTGGTTGGGATGCTCCAAGGGTCGGTGTGGACTTGTTGGGCCGAAGGGCTTGTTTCCACACTGTAGGGATTTTACGATTCTATGAAACTCGAAACCTTGCTTTTTATACCAGGTGTTGCATTTATACCTGCGTTACATTTAGCACCTGAGCTATGTGACAAAGATTTCCTTTTGTCATTTCTAGCTACATCATGTTTTTTTCTATCAGATGAGTTTTCTTTCATGGGAACAAATTGGAAGTTGTAAAATTTATTGTCATGCTAGTTTAATATAAATGCAATATAATCTTAAACGCTGCCAACAGTAAATGTATTTTTCTAATAGCCATAGGTAAGCTAAATCTCCTCCTCCTTCCCTCATGAATAGTACCTGTGGTACCATTTTCTGACTGGAATGCTTAACTTGTACAAAGATCTGAGCTAGGTGTCATAAAGATGTAAACTTAAGTAAGAGATGAAAATATTCTCCTCCAATCTGTATTGTGAAGTGTTAATGTATATGTTCAGCTTTTACCAAACTATTCCCCTTTCAATTTAACTTCGCAAATAACTGCACTTTCAAAGGGCAGTTTGTTTATGAGACGTTTAAGTTTGTATTTGTGGTTTTTTAACATTCTGTATGCTCGCTGTCTGCAATAAATGAAAGTTTCTTTCAATGTTCATTCTTTAAGTCATTTTCTTCTACTTAAACTGAGTAGGCTGAGAATTTGCTGCACAGATATAACAGATCTTATAAGTTAGACCCATGTGCTCTTTGATCCTCCAGTGGTGGCTTTCCACTGGAATTTGTTGCGGTTAGAATCCGCAAAGGAGAGCTCAGTAGCCAAAGATTAAAGTAAGGCCCCACTGTGATCTAATGGTCCTCAGTCCTTACTGTTTTAAAATAGGCGTTTGAAGGTTCAACTGATGGTAGAATCCAACAAAATTACAAATTATAAAGAGCTAAGTCAACTCTGGCAGATTTGTTCAGTAGGTGAAGTTGTGACCTCCCCTTCCTATTGCAGTTGTTCAATGATCAATGCAGGAGGGCATGCCAGGAGCAGCACCAGGCATACTTAAAAATGAGGTGCCAACTTGGTGAAGCTACCAAACAGGACAATATGCATACCAAACAGCATACGCAGCAAGTGATAGACAGATTTACGCAATTCCACAACCAATGGATCAGTTCTAAGCGCTACATTTCTGCCACATCCGGTCATAAATAATGGTAACAATTAAACCACTAAATGGAGGAGGAGGCTCCACAAATATCCCCATCCTCAATGACGGAAGAGCCCAATACATCAGTGCAAAAGATTATACTGAAGCATTCACAGCAATCTTCAGCTAGAAGTTGATGGTCCATCTCAGCTTCCTTCAGAGGTCCCCAACTCACAGATGCCAGTCTTCAGCAATTCAGTTCACTGCTCGTAAATATGAAAAATTGCCCAAATATGGCCTGTACACAAAACACAGAACAAATCCAAACATATCAATTACCATCAGTCAGGTGAGGGGTGAAAGTGACTGCCCTTGACATTCAGGCAGCATTTGATTGAATGTGGCAACAAGTGGCGCAAGCAAATTGGAATCAGTGAGAATCAAGTGAAAGCTGTCCACTGGTTGGAGTCATACCTGGCACATTCAAAGACAGTTGTGGTTGTTGAAGGTCAGTCATTTCAGTTCCAGGACATCTCTGCAGGAGCTCCTAAGGGTAGTGTCCTTGCTTCATCAATGACCATCCCTCCATCATAAGGTCAGAAGTGTGAATGTTTGCTGATGATTGAACAATGTTCAGCACCATTTGTGACTCCTCAGATACTGAAACAGTCTATGTCCAAATGCAAAAGACCTGAAGAAAACCAGGCTTGGGCTGAAAAGTGGCAGGTATCATCTCATCACACAAATGCCAGGAAGTGGCCATCTCCATTAAAAGACAATCTACCACCACCCCTTGACGTTCAATGCATCACCATCATGAATTCCCTGCTGTCAACATCCTGGGGGTTTCCATTGATCAAAAACTCCACTGGACTAGTTATGTAAACACAGTGGCTACAAGAGAAATTCAGAGGCTGGGAATACTGCAGTGGGTAACTCACCTGATTCCCCAAACTCCATCTACAGGGCACAAGTCAGGAAAGTGATGGAATACTGCCAGATTGTCTGGATAAGTGCAGCTCCGACTACACTGGAGAGACTTGGTACCATCCGGGACAGGTCAGCCCACTTGATTGGCACCACATCCACAAGCATTCATTCCCTCCACCACTGACGCTCAGTAGCAGCAGTGTTTACTATCTACAAGATGCACTGCAGAAATTCAGTGAAGCTCCTTATTTAGTATCTTCAAAACCCATGATCATCTCCATCTAGAAGGATAAGGGCAGCAGAAACATGGGAACACTGGCACCTGCAAGTTCCCTTGTCAGCCACTCACCATCCTGACTTGGAAATATATTGCCCGTTCCTTCACTATCGCTGGGTCAAAATCTTGGAATGAAATCTTCCTAATGACAGCCTATAGCACATGGCCTGCAGCAGTTCAAGAAGGCAGCTCGCCACCACCTTCTCACGGGCCGCTAGGGATAGGTAATAAATGCAGGCCCAGCCAGCGATGCCTATGTCCCATGAATGATTTAAAAAAAAGGAAACCTGAGTTTTAGTTTCCACTTGCTCAAGCAGTCTATAAACCCTATGCTTTTTCTGATTTATCGGCTGGATTAATAATGTATGAATGGGTACATTCGCAGGATTCACATCTAATGACCATATTTTTAAAAAAAATAGACACACTGAATGGTCGGTTAAGGTTAGGACTGGACACACCAAGGATTTCTGTCAATTTGTTGTTTAGAACAGTGACCCTAGACGCTGCTGGCAATGTACCAATCACTTCTTCTCACAAAGCAACTAATGAAGTAATTAACTTCTTAATTTAAAGAGTAAATGATGATTCTCCAAATTACATCAAGCACGCTGAGCCCTCTGGCACTATTCTTTAATAGCTTGGGTGGCAGTTGCAGCAACGCTCTTTCAGCAATTTGATCTATTAATTTTAGTAAAAAGGGCTCGGATAATCACAGTTGAAATTAATCAACGAGGTTCCTTATGAAACAGCACAGAAATCTCAGGAAAGTATGGTGTGGTACTTGCTAGGGGTTCTCTATATCTAGCACCATTAGGAATCCGAAAGAAGATTTCAAGGAATCACTAAATCAGCATCTTCTACGAAGACAGGTTGCACAGTTCTAAGGGGTTGATTGGACGTTTTTATGTCCAATCTTCTCCACAGTTAACAATTCCAAAAGATCCCTGATCCCTCCCATCTCCCACAAAGGACCCCTGACCCTCTTCCCCCAATCTGCCATATTTACAGGGGTACCTCTGCTTTCCAAAGGGTACCTTTTCCGATTGAAAAGAAATGTACTGAGAATAGAACCTGCTCTAGCCTGGTCTAGTGCCTACACTTTCTGGGTTCAGACAGGAGCAACTTGAAGGTCCCAATTCTGTGGAGGCAGCTGGTCATTTAAATGTCCAATTGGCTTCACAAACTGCAAATGCACAAACGATGGACGGTTTACTGCCCCACCCCACAAAAATGAGAAATACCAGGTTCAGGGGCTGGACTTGAGATTCCCAGCATTTCCACCGCGATGGAGATGTTGTCTTTAATCGTGGCAACTGGTGTCTAATGATGGTTCAAGAGACGACCTATTTCTTTTCATAGACAAAATAAGGAGGGGCATTAATAGTCAGCCTTGTCAGGAGTGAATGATATGACTGTAACATATATACAGATAGTTAATGATGTTGTACAGCTGGATGACATTGCGTTACCAAGTGGATACGATTGCCTTAAATTGAGTTTTGGTATTTGAAAAGGGTGATGTTGAGCATTCTTAATTTTAGCAGATATCCCTGTAGCTGCCAAGGCCTTAAGCTCTGAAATTCCCTCTCTAAACCTCTCTGTCTCTCCAGCTCTCTTTCCTCCTTTAAGCCATTCCTTGAAACCTACCTACCGTCCGGCTCAGTGTCCCACTTTGTTTGCTTGTGTGTTTGTGGAGCACATTGGGATGTTTTGCCTTGTTAAAGATGCTGTACAAATATAAGTCATTGCAATAAAAATGCACACATTTGTTTTGCTCTTGGTGTTGATAATCTTACAAGTTAACAGGAAAAGGTGTGCCATATATATATTTGGAAGTTTGTTTTGGAGCCGTTGCTACAGAATTGTTATAGCACTGAAGGTCTGCAGAGTCTCTGCTGGCCCTCCAAGTGGACAATACGCCCACTGCTTGTCTTCTTCCTGCAACCCTGCAGATTCTTCCTTTTCCAATAATAATCCAGTTCCTGTTTGAATGCCTTGATGAAAACTACCTCCACCACACATTTCTGCAGCCCGCTCCATATCATAACAATTCACTCATATCCCAATTCCTGCTTTTTCTGATGAATTTAAATCTGTGTCCTCTCATTCTCGATTCTTTCACCAGTAGGTTCAGTTGCCCCCTATCTAACTCCATTCCAAACCCCTCCTGATTTTTAATATCTCAATCAAATCTCCATTTAACCTTCTGGTCTCCACACAACACAATCCGAACTTCTCAACTCTGTCACTATGTAAGTGAAGTTCGTCATCCTTGGAACCATTCTGCTGATTGTTTTCTGCACTATCTTCAATGCCTTCACATCCTTCCTACAATGTGGTGCCCAGAACTGGAACTTTGTACAGCCTTGTGGCACATTCCAATGAGTATACCGATCCAGTTTCTCAAAGCCAGCAAATGAGTGTCTGATTTTGGAACTGGGTGGTTTTCATTTCTATTTGGGTTGCGTTGAAGGATCAGGCCAAGTCGAGTGAAGGGTTGCTTGGGCAACGGGAATAGACAAACACACAAAGACAATAACTGAATGGTGCATCACCACACTGATGTCGTACCTACCTGCACAAGCTGTTGAGTTATTTTACCATCTAATAATAATTAAAATGCATGCATGGCAGCTTAAAAAAGACAAATCAATTTTTAGACAGCACTGGTTTTTAGATTGCCAGACTTGAGACACTGTACCTGTGCCGTTACTTGAAAGAATTATCATGTCAGTAAAATAATACTTCCATGTCAGTATCCATCAAAGCTTGATCTCCCTGGTGCATAAAATCTTTAGCATGGATTACCTGCTCATCTTGTTACATTGTACATCAATGCACTAGACGTAGTAAAGGATGATGTGAAATTGAGTTCTTCAAACAATTGTGTTCAAATCTGTTTCAACATTAATGATCATTTGACTTGTATTTTGTACTGCATCAGAATTTTGGAAGCTGAGAGTTTCACATTAATCTTACGAGACTTTACTTCTGGCCATTAGGACATCACCAGTGATAATGGAAAAGCTTCAGAACCCGAAGGAACAATGGTGTGTGTCAATCTGGATTCCGATGGTGAGGATGAGCCCGTCCCTTCCCAAAAACCTGAAGAAGCCAAAGCAACTACTGAGACATTGCGACAGGAATGGCAACAACAAGACAATTCTATAGCACCTGAGAATGATGAACAAAAAGCTTTTGAACCAAAAGGTAGAGAAAATAGCTTATTTTTAACTTTACTTTTATTTTTGAGTAGCCACTTCACGAGCTATTTTAAACATGTTCAAAAATTTGCAGTGGTGATAAATAGTCATTCAAATCAATAAGGATTTGTGCTTTTCACCTAAAATGATCTTTTATACTTATATTAAAAGCAGACTCCCATTAAGATCTAACTTAAAACGCGATGATTACAAAGAATTACATTTAACCTTAATTTTTTTCCATTGGTTCTGATATTTTTTTCGAACAATTATTTTGAATCCTAATGTTTCAAGATACTGCTTTGGAAGGGATGTTGCACAAGCAGTACAAAGGATTAGAATTGACATCAGTCCTATTCATAACTATAATTCATTACTTCTTAAAAATGGTTAACTCTATTAGTCCTAGCAATTTTATCTGAATACCCTGATAAACAAATAAGGTTTTCAAGTAACCATCCAGGAGTTGCTCAGTGTTGATTTGCTAATGATAATTTTCTAACCATTTTCCTTTTAAAAGTGAGGATTAGTTTCTGATGCTGTGGCTCCCACTTTAAAGACTCCCCACCCCATTGTTTGATTTTCTAAAGCAGTATTGTCTAAGAAGGAGTATCCATCAGTGTGATTTCTTTGTCACCCTCTCTCCAACTTTATCCCTGAGGCCAGAGTCATCTGTTTACAACTGGCAACTTCTAGAGTTTGTAGGCTCATAGATGTCTGCAGCACAGGAGGGCCATTCCGCCCCATTGTGTGTGTGCCAGCCAAAAAAGATCTGACTGCACCGATCCCATTTCCAGCTCTCGGCCCACAACTCTGAAATATCTGCTGAAATGTTATGAGAGTTTCTGGCTCGGCCATCCTTTCTGGCAGTGACGTCGAGACTCCCATCATCCTCTGGGTGAAAAGACTTTCTGCATCTCTCCGTTAGCTTTCCACTTCTGATCCCTTGTTACTAGTCCTGAAATGCTCCCCTACTAACATGTCGTCCAACTGTCCAACGACATTTCTGAATATTAGGTGCAGAACTGCCCCATCTGTGTTGGTCTTTCTAAGTATTAGCTAAAATTATTTCTCAAGGATGCAGGTTTACAAATTTTGCTCCCTGCCTCTTGTCACCAAATGCTTTGTCTCCCTGGTTGTTGAGGAAATACGTGACTTCAGTGTCAGAGACAATAATAGCACTGGTTTTGATCCATTCAACACAGCTCTAACATAAAGATGAAATGAATCCCAATCATTTTCAGTGCTGTTCACATTTCCAGTGGGTTCTAAGGCAGATGTTGGAAGACCCTGCCTGATGCAGGCAGGAATTATATCTGTGTATGTGTGTAAAGGATCTGTGACAGTCCTCCACAGGATTTGTTGAGAGTGAGATTCCCTGGACACCAAATCCTTGTCCTGGACAAATGACATACAGAATCAGCTGTAAGTGAGGTAAAAGATGCGGTTTATTTAAGCTGAGCATGTTAGCCAATTTCTAAGAAACCTTTATGTTGTTTTTCTTCTATTGCCGCTTGGGCTTGCTTGTGTCGGCCATTCTTAGTTCCAACTTGTTGCTATGATTGCTGTGATAATTCCTGGGGCTTTAAGGGATCATCCAAGGTGCCAGCTCTCATGCAGACACCCGTCCCAGCAGAGAGAGGTGTCATTACCTCGTGTTGTAAAAGATTATGGTTCATGAAGCTCTCCTTCCTAACTAAACCATTGCCATCAAACTCTCTGATGTCACAATACTTGAACATTATCTTATTAACCATTTTGCTGGTAGTCCTTCAGAAGCACCCAAATTCCAGCAAGCCATTGCAGGAGTTTTGTCAGGAAGGTCAGCGGAAGGGAGAATTGCCTGATTGTCTGCACATATCAGGGTGCTGCCAAACATTTCACCTCTTCATAGCAGTGACTGTTCTTGAGAGCTGGGCCAATAGAAAGGCAGGACAGAACTGCACCATCTAGTGCAAGGATACCCATGGCTGCCATGCAAGACCAAGCACATTTGGATGATTTCGCCTAATGTTTGACTCTGTGATTACTCACGCACCCTGCAGTGGGAAGCTGTGCGACTGGTTTGACCGACTTCAGTGGCCATGATGTTGGAATGCTATGTCCTGTCTGCAGGCACATGCCTTAACATTGGATTCTCTCCCTTCATTTCTCAATCTGCTACTCCTTCGATCTTGGAAGAGCTTAGTGATTAAACCACTGGCCTTGTAAACCCTGAGTGCGAGTGTTACTGGAGCCTGCTGGAGAGTTAGTGGTTCAGTTGACAGCATGCTGTCTCTGAGTGCCACGACAGAACCGCAGTACAAAACTCATGGCTTAGTGATAGCGAGAACTGCAGATGCTGGAGCCAGAGACAACACGGAATGGAGCTGGAGGAACACAGCAGGCCAGGCAGCATCAGAGGAGCAGGAAAGTCAACATTTTGGGTCAGGATAACCTTAGGGTTCCTGATGCGAAACGTTGACTTTCCTGCTCGTCTGGTGCGGCCTGGCCTGCTCCGTTCCTCCAGCTCCACACTGTGTTGTCTCATGACAGACACTTGCATTGACTGTCGGAGATGCTGTCTTTCAGATGAGATTTTAAACCACAATTGATGTACAAGATTTCATGGCATTGATTTCAAAGCACTTTGAGAAGTCCTGTGGCCATGAAAAGCACTGTATACATGTTAAACTCTTTCTTTTAACTGTGCCTATTGATTGACTGAATGGACTAGCAGGGGGCCAATATTGAATCGCTAACAGCAGCTACATTAAGCCTGCAGTTCTTAAAGGGGAAGTCCACTCCAGTTGAAGCTGGTGCTGGGATCTGTGCAGGATGCAAACAACAAGAGAGTGGGTGGTCCCATGGTTTTCAGAACCTGCGTTGGAAGCCCAGCTGAAAGATGTGGCCAAGGGGAATGGTTTCCTATATCCAGAGAAGCCAGGCAGCTGAGAAAGCAGTGGATATCTGTAGAAGTCAATGTCAAGAGCCAAACCATCCTGACTTCAGTTCAGTTCCACAAGCTGTTCAGTGAGCTCGTAATCACTTGGGGTCAATCTTCGAAAACCATGGGAGGTACACCTTATAAGACACTGGACACAAGAGGCCTAGGGCCAGGACCAAGCAGGTTCCAGCTGAAGGACAATAAGATTGTGCATGCACACTGATTAAAACCTTTGCTGGCAGCCTACAGAATGCCGATGGAGGAGCACAACAATGTGCTTGGCATATTCGCAAGTCTGCAGTCAACGTCAAAGAACCTGTAGGAGTCCAGCACTAACTTGATATGCAACTTGGCCCTGAGTTTTGGGAGGCTTGCCTTTCCAGCATTGTAGCAGTGCCCAGCTTCATCGACACGCATGCAGGCTCGACAGTGTCTCACAGCCGATGTCTCAGCTTCCATTTCAGCGAAACAGATTGCACCCGACATCTAAAGGCTGCCGCAGAACCTCGGGCTGAAATTGTGTCAGGGTTAATTTGTTGCTATGCAAACTCAGCCCGCTGCCATTGTAGCTTGGGGTTTGCAGCATTTCACAGCAGGCTGACTGTCTGCCTGAGCTCCAGCAGGAGTTTCTGATGTGTCAGTCCAGGAGAATGGCAGTGCGAATTTGCTGTCCACTCTTAGGAAGGTGGTATTCCCCCTCCCACACCCATTGTGCTGCTGTTGCTGCAACAGGGCAGTTGTGAAGCAAAGCCTCCTTGGCCCAAGAGCTGCTTCAGATTGTCCTCCAAGGCAAGGTCTTCCATTGAAAGTCAACAGCAGCTTTCTACCAGTCAGACTGCACCTTCTAGGGTAGCATCGCATTGAAGTACTAGAGTAGGTAAAGGTTCCCATAAGGTGGGTACTAAAGAAATGTACAAAGACTCTTAATTCATGTATATATTTAAATAAGTAACAATTTCATTTACAAATTTTACTTTTAGTTTTGCTTTGAGGCCACGTGAAGACTATGACAGTCAGTGACAAGGTGAAGATAAGGTGTAGGACTGTTAGTGGGAGGGGAATTGGGGTTGAGGAATCGTCATTTTGAATTAATTCTTCACAAACAGCCCAGGCACAAAGGAAAGGAATCATGGCAACAGCTAGAAGGAATGAACCAGCCGCTACTCTGAAACCAGTGGGTGATCCATTTTGATGATGCCTGTGGAGAATGGATGAGGTTAGGCTGGGGGTCTGTTCAGCTGAGTGAGATGAAGAAGCAGTATTAGCTGGAGTGTGGAGATCCGGAATGGAAATTCTGGAATCAAATCAGCATTGCAAACTGATTGTAATCATGATCTACTTGCTTTGTATATCTCCGTTTCTAATGCTCTCACTAGCACAGCACATTTCATCCAAAAAGGGTCTGTGTGCACCACAGGTAGAATTTTGGAAGTTTTAAGGACACTATTAGCACACACAAACAGGGAAACACATTTCCGCATCCTCACCCTTCACCTTTTGGGTGCATTTGCACCAGTTTGTCTCTAATCAGAAATTATTTGAATGTAAAGTGACCCCTATATATGTTTCAGCACGGTATAGAGATCCAATTAATAATGATGCCTTCGATGAGATAGTACACTTTGTTTTCATAGATAGCTCTCCATTTAGAAAGGGCTTTTCTCTGACTGTCTCTTTTCCCCAATAGAAACCTTGGGTAACCCAACGCGGCAAGTTCAGCTCCCATATTCCGCCGTGTATGTTGCAAAGCAGAAAACAAGACCAGAGCTGGCAGCCCGCTACCTAGTTCGACATTTGTTTCCTGAGGAGGTGCTTGTAAGAAGCAACGTGTACGGAAACCTGGACCGGGGTATCGCTCCTTTAGACTGCAACAAAATCAGCGCTGTCCGAGGTATTTAAAGACAATCGCCGTGATTCAATTTGCATGTAACATCCTTTGGTCCAGTGGAGAAATTCATGATCGAAAACATGAAATTTCTCAAAGATCCATAATACATTCAGCTAACGGAATCCCAATATTTGATTCATGCCTCCGTCAACATCAAGGTGGTGGACATTAGAATTGAGCAGGTTCTGTTATGGGCAGGTGGCCTGCTCGGTTTATCATCCAAAGTGCTGACGTTGAGAAGTAGCTACTAGGAAGCAAATGAGTAATTTCTTTCTCTGCTTTCTTTCAATGCAGCCCCTGACTTCAGCCCGAACTCTTTTCAGATAATGCCTGCACGTAAATGCCACAATATAGTGCTTATACAAACAAGGAACAGGAGTTAGCCAACCAGCCCAACAAACCTGCTCCACAATCTAATAAGGTCATGACTGATTGGATTTTAACCTGAACTCTCCATTCCTGCTTATCTCCTTTGAGAGGGTTCTTTGCCTCAAAATGACTTCTCTATGGTACAAAGGTTGGATTCTTATTCTCCAAAATCTCTTTGCATATTACAGATTTCAGGGCAGTTTTGTGCTATAAATTTGCGACCTTTAGAAAGATTTAAGAAAGACAGACTAATCTTAAGAATTTGAAGAGTATCATCCCTGCCTGTCAGTTCAATTAAACTCAGTCTCTCCCTCAAATTCTCCTAAAAAACATTGTAATCCAACCTTTGGGATAAAAGCTCTAAAAAATTAAAAGAGAATATTTGTCTCCACCTTCTTCCATGATAGTATGGTCATCAAGTTAAGAAAACAAAATTTGCTTTATTCCACATTTTCTGCGTAAATTTGCCTTAAGCAATAAGGTAAAAATAATCATTAAGCAGAAAATGAGCTTCTGCGTTTGTTATGTGTGGCTATTTAGTATAGAAAGGAAAACCTGGATTTATATGGTATGCTTCAGAACCTCAGGGCATCACAAAGTACTTCATTTTTAAAGTGCATTCACTTTATTTCACATAATGTAGGAAGCACAGCAGCAAATAGAAATGGGACAGTTTTCTTTTAACAATGTCGGCACGGTGACTCAGTGGTTAGCACTGCTGCCTCACAGCATCGGGGACCCGAGTTTGATTCCACCCTTGAGTAACTGTCTGAGTGGAGTTTGCACATTCTCCCCGTGTCTATTTGGATTTCCTCCAGGTGTTTTAGTTTCTTCCCACAGTCCAAAGATGTACATTTAGGTGGATTGGCCAGGCTAAATTGCCCACAGTGTCCAGGGATATGAAGGCTAGGTGGATTAGTCATGGCAAGTGCAGGGTTACAGAATAGGCTAGGGGGTTGGGTCGGGATGGCATGCTCTTCAGAGAGTTGGTGTGGACTTGTTGGGCCGAATGGCCTGTTTCAACACTATAGGGATTCTATGAAACAGCGAATTATATTGAATCTGTGGGCTTCTGTAGATCTCCTCACCTTTTACAAGAATCACTGCTTTCTCAAACCCTTGACGTGCCATAAAAGATGCCATCAAAGCACTCAACCAGTCTTCACACTTACTTTGAACTTTTCTGTTAGTTCCTTCATTTCAAAAGCATGGTTAACAGTGGGTCGTGGGGGTTGGGGGGTGGTGAGGGAGAGAAGCGGCAGCAGGCCATCTTATTTCAGTTCATTGCAGAGTCACTGACCTCTAGAATTGTGTGAACATCTTTGCCTACTGTGAAGTTGAAGATGACGAAGCTGCTACACAGCTCTCTCCCATCATGCACAGGCCTACCCTCACATTCACTAACAAAGTTCATCTGATGGTCCTGGGAATAGTAGCATCCTGGTGGCTAGGAATTGTACCCCAGAGACATTCTCACATTGTAGTAAGAAAGGAACAACTGTCTTGGCAGGAGGAAAGGTAAGGTCAGGATGGTAAAGCAGGGGCAGCTGGGTGGGATGCTCTTCAGAGAGTCAGTGTGGACTCAGTGGGTTGACTGACCTGCTTCCACACTGTAGGGTTTCTATGAGTTGAGGGTTGAATGTTGGCCTGTACACCAGAGCACTAGCTTCTCTCATATGAACCAGTGCTGTGGGGTCTTTTTACACCAACCAGAGGGAGCAGATGTAGACTCAGTTTAATATCTGATCCAGGAGGAAGGATTCCCGCAGTGCAGCAGACACTCAGTACAACACTGCCTGGGGCTAGTGTCACTATAGTAGGATGTTGGAATCGCAGGTGGGTATGCAGCTCCCGAGCTACAGCTGGTGTGTAAACAAAAGGCATTAGATGTACTTTATCATTTGAAAGTCTTTTTTTTACCTCTGTGAAAGCACTTTTCGAATTGAACCTCACTTGTTTAATATCTACATGTAAAGCTTTGACACAGTAAAACCGGAAGAAATAGGAACAGGAGAAAACTGTTCAGGCCCTCAAGCCTGCTCTGCCATTCAATAGGATCATGGCAGATCCAACATTCCTCACGTCCACTTTCCTGCCCTTTCCCCGCAACCCTTGATTCCCTTACTGATCTATCAATCTCTGCTCCCGCAGCTCTCTGTGGCAAGGAATTCCAAAGACTCTGAACTGTCTGAGAGAAGAAATTCCTTCTTTTCGCGGTCTTAAATTGGTGCCCCTTTATTCTGAGACTATCCCCTCATGGCACGGTCTCAGACCAGAGGGCAAACATTCTCTCAGCATTTACCCTGTCAAATCCATTAAGAATACCATATGTTTCAATGAGATCGCCTCTCATTTTTCTAACCTCCAGTGAGTGGAGTCCCAACCTGTTTAGCCTTTATTCATAATACCATCCCTCCATACCAGGGACCAAGTGAACTTTCTCTGGACTGCCTCCAATGAAATGATATCATTCCTTAAATAAAGGGTACCAAAACTGCCCGCGGTACTCCAGATGTGGTCTCACCAGCACCTTGTACAGTTGCAGTAGGACTTCCTCTTTTCATACTCCAAACCCCTTGAAATAAGGGCCCACATTCCATTAACCTTCCTGATTACCTGCTGCACTTGAGTGCTGGCTTTCTGTGTTTTGTGCACAAGTACCACCCCCTCCTCCCCCCCCCCGACCCCCCGCCAAGTACCTTTGTGTTGCAGCTTTCTGCAGCTTATCTCCATCTAAATAATATTCTGTTTTCTTTTTATTCTCCCTTCCAAAGTGAACAAGAATGAAATTTGAGCAGGTTCAGGAAGAGCCAGTCAATCTGCTCCACCTGGTTACCACCCAGGCAGTGAAAGTAAAAGTCATCCCCTCCCTTCTGTGCTCTGACAGCACGATAGATTGTGGAATACCTTTAGTGCCATGAAATTAATTCCTCCTTTTACTATATGGTCCTTTCCTTTAGGTCCTGTGGGGGCATATGTCAGCTGGGATTGGTGATAATCAAAATGGAAAGATGTTTTACTGCATATTTTTCCAGTGAGCAAACCATAATGACCCATGGTTTGAATTTCATTGGAATGAGAGCAGAGAGCTCTCTCCAGGCAAGAAGCAGTGGAACCTTCTATTAACGCCCTTTTGAGGTAGAACTGATATCGCAGGGTCTATAAGAATTTGGCAATGTTTATTGAAGAGCTGGCTCCTGCAAAGAAAAAAATCTGTAAATAATTGCTGCACATTGCCAAAGCACGTTTAAATTGAATTTCAACCTTTGTTCTGAAAATTTGTAATGGATGCTTTGAGATAAGATATGGAATCGAGGACATTCTGAAAAGGTACAAAATGTGCGAAGTTTCCTCGACTTAATAAATGGTCAGGAAAGTATTCAGGGATCTGTTGAAGATAAAATAACTAATCTGGTTGAAATTTAGGCTGTAGGACCAGGTATAAAGATAGTTGCTGGCTAAATAGCCTCCTACTTGCATGAAATCTGTTGGATACAATATATAAGGTTTCTAAAGCATCTGTTGCACAAGAGACTCCATACATTTGCTGTGATTTTCTTTTGAAAGGAGTTATCCCTCGCAACGTTGTTATTCTAAAGTTTGAAATAATCTGGACAGGCGTTTGAGCTAACAGGGTAATGAAGCAAACAACTGTCAAACTGAAGAATTCTCGGAACAATGATAATAACTAGCTTCTAATTAAGCTCAGGAATTACTCCCTCTGGACTGCAATCCCAAAGGCTTTCCCTGAGTTCTCACTCAGTGTATCAGAGACAACTAACAGCCAAGGTGTACAGCCCCAGACTACGTGTGAGGAATGTCACACGCAATCAGCTGATCATTCTGTGAGGCCATAGTTCTGCCAATGAGCCAACTTCAAATACAATTGCATTACGTTCTCTAAATTTAAATATTGTGTTTATATTCCTTTTGTTCTGTAACATTAACTTTTTGGTTCAAACATGGACAAAAGAACTAAATTTCAGAGGTGAGGTGAGAGTG